GTTTTCCTTACAAATCGTTTGCAGGAAATGAGGCGCAGAAGAGATGAATTAGATGAAAGGTTACGTGTAGAGCAAGAGCGACTCCTTCGACAGGAACGCACAATTCGTCAAGTATGTCTGTAGTATTTACTTATTGCGCCACTGCCAAAATCGAATGCCGTACTCGTATTCAGGGCACCGTAGCTCCTAGACGAAGTCCTTTGTCACTAATCCGCCGATAATGTTTATGGTATTAGGCTATTCCATAAGTAGGCGGTTTTGAACCCCAATTTCTTTTATCGTGCTAATTAAAAGAGAGATTTGTTTGCTCTTCAAAAAGCGGTGCTTCGTTCTTACATTATTTGAAGGGATTTGGAATTTTAGGCCTGCAATTTGGGTAGGCACGAACAATTGGGCAAACTAGCTAAGTAGCCACATCCAGCTCTAATTCGATTATTCTAAGTTTTTGTGACGAAATGCATGGTAGGTACGGATCCACGTGTCGAACGCACGAACGTGAACAGGATTCACTTCAAACCTTCCCATGAACGTGGATCCGTACCTACCATGCATTTCGTCGCAAAACCACTTCCGGTCCCGCCCACTGGTCCATGGTCCGTGGAAGATTCCTTTAAGCATTGTGGCGTCATAATCTTGACAGCAAATATACAGCCGAGTGGTCAAAAAATTGTGGAACGTCAAAACTAGTTATGAATAGTAAGCTTATCATGTATGCCTGATTGATTCCATAACTTCTAAGGTCAACTTGTTGTGGATGGTTCCTAGAGGCATTGTGCTCTGAATAAGCAAGACCGCTTTTGATCAGCCTTCTAGATAAGATCGTAATGGCCCATGATCCGTCGAAAACCATGTTCCCAAAAACAATACCGTCTGATGTCGTCAAAGTAAAGGACTCTTAACAATTTCGTGATTGAATTTTAGTACGAAAAGCGCTTGGCTCAACGGCTAACCAGAAAGAAAAATTCGAAAAGGGACATGTCATGGCTTTTTCGGTAAAGCCTGTTTCAGAGATGTCCGCTTACGCGAAAAAACGCACAGGCGAAAATCTCCGCCAAGATTTAGATACGCATCGACTGAGAAATTGTGAAACGCGTAAGCGAAACGTCCGGAGCAGGCGAATTTCAGTCAAGAGTTTGATATGTATCGACTGTGAGAAACGCACAGGCGGAAAATCGCGTGAGCGAAGCGTTCGTAAGTCGATGCGTATGATACTCATTTTCGTCGATCCTCCCACTTCACGATTCTTCCTGACGCGTCGTCGCTCAGACGATAGATATTTTATTTTATTTCACCTCTGCGTTTTTTTTTGCCTAAGCGGACACCTCTGAACAGCTTCCTCACCTATCAGCGGAATGTTTAGAAGAGGTCGTGGCCACGTAGCGGGTACATCATTGCTCGATTTCTCTTGGAGGGAGTAGAGTTAGAGCTAGTTGTCTCTTGACAAATTTTCGTCGACTGGACTTCCTAGTTCGGGCGTAGAATCCAATGCTTTTGCAAACAGTGTCCAATGTGAAAGTTAAACATATAAAGTGTAGAGTAAACGAACCCCTTTTGAATAGTTGATGATAAAAGGATAAAGGATAAAGCATTTGCCGTTGATCAATCCCTTTTTGGGATGCGGCACGCATTCTACTTCCATTTGTACATTCGCAGTGGCGTTTGAATGCGATGTGGCCTATACAATGACTTGCGGGGGCCAGCCGATGTTCAAGTCAGTGTTTTTATCCTCCCAGACAAGTCTGGTACCAATTAACCGACCCCGGAGGGATGGAAGGCTTGGTTGGCCCGGGCGACTCACGACCCAGGATTTGATCCCCGGACCGCTCGCGTGGTGAGCGCGCCACTTGTCACTACACCACTTCCGCCCTTGATGACATGTGCAAAAAAATAGCACAATATTTTCGTTAGTGAAAAAACGACACTACTTATGGGGCAACCTAATATTTTCAAAATCCAGGAAAATTTGTTGATTTTCGTTGCCTTTCCATTTTCGTATTATGCAGATTACATAGTAGCCATGTGTGTTCATGTCCTTTTAGGGTGAAGCTACCTATGCAAAGTTGATGGATTCATCGCAAAGTCTGGTGGATTTTATAAAAAAAGAATATCAGGATACACGGCGTCAGTAAAAGCATGTTTCCAATATCATTACCTTCTTGCTTCTCTAGAAGGCAATTTTGATTTCGTTGACCCTTTAGGATCTAATCTTGTCACTTGCTCATATTGTAAATCGTGTAAATATGCGCCTATAATCTCATGTCAATATGCTTATTTCTTTACGTGACGACTCATGCATGGCTAGACCTCATTTCATCAACTCACTTATGACTTTCACTCATCACTTATTTCTCAATCTACTGTTTTCAAAACGTGTAAAGATTACTATGTATTTATATGTATTTGGTACTATTTATTGATTGCTCTATAATGATAAACCGATTGCTGCATCGAATTTTCTTACTGGACATGTCTCAAAAATTTAATCAAGGGTTGTGTCGCTAATGTTTCCACAAAAGAGATCATCAGAGATTGCAGTAACCGTAAGCACGAGTAATGACGTCTGGAGGAAATATGGACCTGCGATGAGAGAGAAATGTAGATAAAAAAATCTCCGCAAAACTACGAATCCGTGCTCATTTCGATTCTATTCAGGAATGTTGAGCATTTTAGCCACCTGTGCTCTAAATTCTGTGGGTACTTCCTTCCAGTAGGTCGACATTGCGTTGGAGCATCTCATTCACTGCTGTCCTGAAATGGCTTCGGTATTCGTGGGTAGCTCTTTTGTTTCGGAAACGTTAGAGTTACCTTTTGATCGGTATCTCCTAACACATTACAGTCTGGTCTGAGAGCCAACAAAAGCCAAGCGGCACTTGCGCACACTGCCCTTACAGCGCAACAAATCCTCCAGTAAAGCAGCAAGTCTTGAGTGATCACGACTTCTTCCTGAAGAAGAAAACAGTGCTGTGCATATGACCAAAGTATCCACTCATTTGATGATAAAATAGACTTGAAAAGGTGAACTGACCACTACTGGAGCGAGCGCTTCGTCGAATTGTATGCAAGCCGAACTAGCAATAAGTCCAATGGTCCACAGAATAATGCCGATCACACCGCCATGGGACAGCGTCTTTTTGAGCTCCGGAATTTTCCAGCCATAGAAACCAGTCCTTCATGGATCGCAAATCAAAATGTTCTGGTATTCTTCGTGTGGAAGATGCTTCAACGAACCTGTCAATTGCAGCCACACATCCAATCGTAAAACAGATCAGGAATACACATGCACTGGAAGGCTGAGCCAGCGATATGCGTGCAGCAGAAGCTCCTAGGCATTAGCTTATTATGCGATAGTTCATGTCGAAACTACTGGAGGTTATTCCACAGAATAATGAGCGAAACTAACCAGGAAAGTCTTTCAAAACGTGGAGCGCTTATTTCAAAACAGCCTTTGCATGTTGTAGGGGCACGCCCGTGAAGCACAAAACTGAGGATAGTTTTCTGAGCGGCTCTGGGAATGTAAAAAAATAGAAACAATGGCTCCTGGTTCGGTCCCCACTGAAGACAAATTTTTGCATTTCTCTGATTTCCACTTCCATGTGCTTTTATATGCCTGGACTAGTTCATGAACACAGATTCACCCTATGCAGCTATTCACACGACAGTTGCTCGAAAATGTAAGAGTTTCACTTCCTCTGAGGAGCTTCTGCCCTTTTCTGGCGATCTCAGAGCTGCGCAGAAAA